AGGCCCTGAATGCACGTTGGCAGCCATTTGTAAAGAATACGTAGTAAGAACCTTCTAGTGTAAAACTTTCTGAACCAATTTAAAATTTCAACCATAGGTTCTTCAAAACATATGTAATGATCAATTAACTGCATATGATGATACTGACGGGTAGTACACCTGATACCATGATACTACCTTTAAAACCCTTGTAGAATTTAGGATGAAAATCCAGGAACTGACTCATTGCTACACATGTCCATATAACTCTTTCTTACTAGCACACAAAAACTCACCAGGGTTCACCAACGGATGAACGGCTCAATAAAATGAAGCATGTATCCATAGTAGAATATTTTTCAGCCACTAAAAGGAATGAAATCCTCATATAAACCACAACACGGATGAACCCGTAAAACATAATGCTAAGTGAAATAAGTCAGACACAAATGATCGCATATTGTATAACTCCCTTTACATGAAATACCCAGAATAGCTAAATCCATAAAGACAGAAAGTGGACTAGTGGTTACCAGGGGTTAGAGGAAGAGGGTGAATAACTGCTTAATGGACATGAGGTTTCCTTTTGAGGTGATGAAAATATTTTCAAACCAAACAGCAGTGATGATTGCACAATTCTGAATGCACTAAATGTCATATCGTACATTTTAAAATGGTAAATGTTATATGAATTAATTTTTTTAAATGAAATTGAAAAAGAAAAAAACTCAACAAAGTAAAACTAGAAAAATCATGGACAGATGCAAAAATTTGATTAGAAATAAGGAAAATGTAAGTAATATAAGAAGAGTTTCAACCAAGAATACTGATGGAGTAGCTGTGCAAATTCAGAGGTACTGGAACACTTAATTTCCTTCTTAGAAAGTCAACTGACTATATGTAAGGAGCTGAATAAAAATCATAAACCTTTTATTATTTATTTATTTTTCTTTTATTGATTTCAGAGAGAAGGGAAGAGAAACATCAATGTGAGAGAGAAACACCAATTAGTTACCTCTTGCACAGCCCTGACTGGGGACCAAACCTTCAACCCAGGCACATTCCCAGATCAGAATGGAACCCATGACCTTTGGTTTCCAGGAGGACGCCCAACCAACTGAGCCACACCAGCCAGGACAATCATAAACCTTTTAAAGTTTTAAGGTTTTGGGAATTTTGTTCAATCTCCCCAATCAGATTAAGAGAACGAGGCATTGCGTGATATTAAAAAATTTGGTCAATGCCATTAATGAAGTAACATGAAGAAGTATTGTTTAAAATTCAGATTATCTGATCCCAAAGACAAGAATCCTTTGGGACTAAGTTCAAAACAATTTTTTTGAGACAAATTTTTCCTATCATATTAAGCTCTAAGCTAGATGTATTTTTGTGAGATCTAAGACCAAAATCTTCTGCTTCTTGGGTTTTGCACCTTTCAGGTCCAGGAAATTAAGTATAAAATGGGGGGAGGGGAGAGAGAGAGGGTCTTACTGCCTCAGACAAAGTAAAGGAGCTCTGTGAAGGCCTAGGTTGCCTTATTAACAGCCTCCTGGATACCTATAATTACTGGCACACAGTAGGTACTCTCACATTTTAAAAAAAAATGTTATTTATTTTTAGAGAGAGGGGGAGGGAGAAAGAGGGCAAAAAAACATCAATGTGTGGTTGCCTCTCACACACTGCCAGCTGGGGACCTGAGCTACAACCCAGGCATGTGCCCTGGACTGGGAATCAAACTGGCTACCTTTTGGTTTGTAGGCTGGCACTCAATCTACGGAGCTACACCAGCCAAGGACATTTTTAAGTGAATATAAAAATTTTTAAATACTGAAACTCACCATTTAAGACCTAAAATATGTGGTGAAAATATTAAGACTTGTATGATCCCCAACAGTGAACACTACTGTTTTTTGGGGGTTTTTTTTTGGCTATTTAACAGTCTCTCGGCCCAATTGTGTTTTCCTTTTTAATGTATCATCATTAATTATGAAGACAGTAACTAGTTGACAATGCTTAAGGTAACAATCCACATTAAAATTCTGTAATAAAACATCCATTGGGTTTATTTTTAAAAGTGACTTTAACCCAGTGGAGCTTCATTAACTCCCTTTATTTATTTATTTTTAAATTTTATATACTGATTTTAGAGAGAGAGGAGAGGAAGAGGAAGTAGGAGAGAAAAATCAATTTGTTGTTTACTCACTCATGCACTCATTGGTTGAGTCTTGCATGTGCTCCAACTGGGATCAAACCTGCAACATTGGTGTATCAGGACAGCATTCTAACCAACTGAGCTACCTGGCCAGGGCCAATTTAACTCCCTTTTAAACAGAAGCTCCGCTACGTTGGGGATTTGAGGGGAATCTGGCCTGTGCCCTTTTTAAGAAGTTTACACAGTAACAGATGAATACTAGAATTAATGGGGTGATCACATTGTAAGTTATAAAAATGTCAAGTCACGATGTTATACACCTAAAACTAATATACCCAATATAAGTAAGATGGTATAACAACTACACTTTAAAAAATTAACAAAAGCCTCATTTGTGGATGATTCTGAAATGTCCGCAAGTTGAAAATCATTGCATCAACCTTTTTTATTTCTTACTATCAAGAAATGCTAATCTTAATGTGCCAAGAAAACATTACACAGAATTTGTGAAACAAAGCTTCTAACACTTGTATAAAATTGAAAAGAAATGTGACTCAATTAGTAAATGGAACTCAAGAGACCGGGCAGCCTTTAAAAGAGGTTTAGTGAATGATATGCCCAAAGCCAGACACTGACTGCCAATTTCTTGTTGAATGGCATAAGTTATTAACTTTTATTTTCTAAATTAAATGGAGATCCGTGGTACTCTGCAAAACCCTGTATGAATAGGCAAGTGCCGCTTCATGATGGGAACATGTTCTGAGAAATGTGTCATTACCCAATTTTGTCCTTGTGCCAACATCATAGAGCGCACTTACACAAGCCTAGATGGTCTGGCCTACTGCATGCCTGGGCTATGTGGTATATAGCCTATTACCCTAAGCTATACAGCTACTCAACATGTTACTGCACAAACTAACAAATGAAGCACAAGAGAAAATCACGCAATCAAGAGATGAGGTGCCCCCTGGCGGGGTAGCTCAGTCGGTTAGAGCATCGCCCAACAGGTCAGGGTTGCAGGTTCAGGTTTGCTCTCCAGTCTGGAAGCAACAAGAAGCAACCAATGAAGGCATAAATAAGTGGAACAACAAATTGATCTTTTTTTCTCCTTCCACCCCCTCAAAAATTAATAAATTAAAAAGAGAAATGAGGTAAACATGAGATGCATGAGGCTACTGCAAGCGTGGTATAACACAGTACTTTACAGCACACCTTTTTTAGTAAAAGGGTACATTCTAAAATAGTGATTAAAAAGTATAGGATAATAAATACATAAACCAGCGACAGCCATTTAGTATCATTATCAAGTACAATATTATGTACTATACAAGCAGTTAACTCTCAAACAGGGGGTTGAATTGTGAGGGTCCTCTTATATGCGGAATTTTGTTTTCGATAAATAAAGTTGGCCCTTCATATCTGGGTATTCCACCAACTGTGGATCACAACAGTATATGTGGATCGAAGCAGTATATTTGATCCACAGTTGGGAATCTGCAGTTGGGAATGTGAAAATACTGTTTTCGATTTGCGACTGATGAAATCTATGGTGAGAGAGCCGACTGTGGAAGTCAAGAGTTACACCTGGATTTTCAACTGTGCAGGAATAGGAGCTCCTAACCCTGGTTGTTCAAGAGTAACTGTACGTGCTCTACTCTTAACACGACTGGCAGCACAGGTCTCTTCACACCGGCATCACCTCAAACATGTGAGTAACACCTCCCAGTATGATGGCACTAGGCGACAGGAAACTTTTCAGTTCCATCGTACTCTTCTGGGGCATGGGTCCATAGTTGAGGGAAGCGCCATTACGACATTAGGCAGAGCATGACGGTCACAGTCATGTTTCCCCAAACTTGGAAAAAGTGACAGAATACTACTAATCCCCCCAAGGTGGCCAAGGGATATGGGACCTACTGTCAGCATCAACCTCTAGGAGAGTTCATATTTTCTCTGTAAAATTGGGAAAGATAAATAAAAGCACCTGGTCTTTGGATTGTAAAACCCAAAACGTGCCCATGAAACCACTTGGCACAGGGCCTAATAGGCAATCTAATAGTATCTACTATCATTGTATCCATATATTTTTTAATAAGAGAAACAAGGAAAAGCCTCTGCCCACTAAACAGTGGCTCCGTATTGTACGAGAAAACAATGTTTTAAGGTAGAGAATAAAAACACACACAAAAATCACAGCTTGATATCTCAATATCAAATCGTCAATCCATCTCGGACATTGTTTAGATACAGGGTCACTCATCTTCACACATGGTGGAAACTGGGGATAGGCAACAAATGGTGTGAAAGAAAACAAACGAACAGCACATTCATCTACGACACTCAACAACAATGGGCTGGGTAGTTTTAAAAATGAAAATGCGTCCACTTTAAGAGACATTAAAACTTTACTACAAGTGAGCCAAGACGGCCCTCCGCAGAGTTCAATGCAACATCAACTCCAACCCTGCCTTCTTCGGAGCGTTTAGCCCGTATTTCCGACTCTGGGCCGAGGCCCCCTAGTCGAGAGCGCGCCCCAGGTGGCAGCCCCGGCGCAGAGCCCGAGCGCAAGGTGCAGGTACACGGTGTGGAGCCCCGCCTCCACAGAGACCGCGGAGGGAACACCTAAGGGGAAAAGACAGCGCCGGGGCTGCGGCCCGGACCTCCAACCAACAGCACCCTAGTACCCTTGGTCCTGCCCTTGCCCTCCCGCTGGCGGGACGCGCCCGGACAATCAAGGTACGCCCCACGGACCGCCCCGGTGGCGGGGTCAGCGGAGGATGAAGGTGAAGTGGGTTCCCGACTCCCCTGAGCCTCTCTTCATTCTCCCCACCCTGGGCCACAGCTCCGTTCGCCTCCCCGACCCTCTCACCGGCCTCCCGCCCGCCTCTCCGCCAAGCTCGCCCGGATTCCGGCCTCCGCGCAGTCAGTCTTGCCGGAGGCCGACGGGAGCAGCCGCCGCCGCCGCCTCCCGCTCGTCCCTCCGCTTCTTCCCGAACTCCTCCGGCTTCCCCTCACACCCGCCGAGTGGCCAGGAGGAAGCCAGCTCGCTGAGGGGCCTCCTCCCCCGCTTCCCCGCCGCGACCAATGGGTCCCCGCCGCCAAGAAGCCGCGCCCGCCCCCTGTCGGTGGAGGACCGAGCGAGCGCGAAAGAGGCAGGAGGGAAGGGCCGGAGAGCGGAGGAAGGCGTCTGCGGTTGGGTCCGTAGCCCAGGTCCTGCGCGGCGCAGTGTGGGTTTGCCACGTGGGAGCCACGGCGGCGCCGGGTTGCACAGCTGGCGAGGAGAGAATGTGTCACGCACTCCTCTCCCCGCCCCCGACACGTTCACAGGCATTTTCATATCCTGATCTTCGGGCAGAAACTTTAAAATAACCCGGCCCATTCTAGAGGTACACTGGCTAGGTCGTTTGAGAAGACCATATCAACCTAGCCCTTTAGTCAATTCCTTTTGACTCCTTAAGAGCCAGCTAACGTATCGTGAAAACACCACCTGACAGCAACATTAGAACGCTAATAACCCTAAATATCTCACTCAAAAAGAAAGTAGTGCTTGTCTTTTGCACGTTATGTTGTTTAATTATTTAGCAATACAACAGTGGGCAATGTTTTTCTCTACACACATTCTTTCCACGATTGTATTGATAAATAGGTAATCGATCCAAATCCCACTGCATAATATCTGACACTAGAATAAAAATTGTTTCATGATGTATAACCATATTGCGGAAAGATTAATAACTATCATTATTAACGATTATTAAGTACAGTATCAGGACAACACATGGATGTGGAAATTAAGTTGTGTTAAATGATAGGATTTGAACATAGTAAGTACTTTAAAACTCGTAGCTTTTCTTCTAGAAATATAAAATGCAGAACCTAAAGAATAGCAGTGTATTTTGGAGTTTGTGTTCCATGGTACTGGAGGGAAGGATGAAATGCATTCTGAGAGCCTTCTTTGTACCACACAGTTTGCTGGACGTTTGCTGGGCCTTCGGGTTTGTGTTCTCATTCAATGGTCACAACACATCCAAAGCAGATATTATCTGTGTAATCCTTTAAGAAATCAAAAAACTGAGACTCCAAATCTAAGTTTAAAAACCTTGCTTCAAAATACAGTGTAGTAAGTTGTGAAGTTGGAATTCTGGCATAGCTCCATCTATCTCCAAAAAAGTCCCCTTTTTTCTTATCAAAAAAACATATTTACTGTACACATACCTCCTCTAGCTCCCCACATCTCAGTGAAAGAATTAATGAAGCCTTTTGAGTAGAGGTCAGGCCATATTTGTGAAAGAGCTTTTTGCTCCATAACTGAATTGGCCTGTATGAAAATGACATATGCCATATTCTTAGAGCACACTTGAAACAACTTCTGGGCTGAAAATTTGTTTACTATCCTAATTCATCAGTGACAGTAATCTATAGCTTGGAACTCTTCAGTAGGTAATCAAGTTTAAAATAGTGGGTTACAACAAAAATGTTTCACTGAAGTAGGAGATAAAACAGTTCATAGCACTGCTTGAGGATAAATATTGTTTCATGAAACATTTGTAAGTATTAGGTGTGGGTGAGTGGCTGGGTTACAATGTAAATTATATTTCTTAATATGGACTGCAATGTTTAGAAGTTGATAAATCACTTCTTTAGAACACCTGTTAATCAAACAATTGTTTCACCTACCTTTGTACTTGGCAAGAAGTGTGGGAGACAGTGGAAATAATCAGGATAAAGTTTGATAACACTACTTCTCTTTGCAGCTCCAGGAGGGTTAATTCAAAACAGGTGGTGCTTTGTTACATAGTAGATAATGATAATGTATATTTTTAAAGCCAATATTTATTGTACATTTATAGTATGCCAGGCTCTTCTCTAAGCACTTTACATGTATTTAATCTCATGATAATTCTATAAATACAGATGAGAAAAGTGAAACTGAAAGGGAAGTTGCTCAAGGTGCTATTGCTAGTACCTGGCAGAGCCAAGATTCAAACTGACATGCTCACCCAGCCCCAAGGCCCACTCCCAGTGTGTATTGGAAAAGAAAATTCATTCTCTCTTCAATGGATGCGTAGTTTTTTATAAAACTATAACATGCTATATGGTTTCCCATTGAAGGATTATCTAATATTGTTAAATATAAAAACTGATGAAAAATGAAAAGCCTCAGAATTTTTTTTATCCTCACCCAAGGACATGGTTATTGATTATTCATTTATTTTCCCCCTCACCTGATAACTTTTTTTTTTTTTTGCTTTTATAGAGGATGAGGGATGGGGGGAGAGAGACAGAGACAGAGATATCAATAGGTTGCCTCTCCTATGCACCTAGACCAGGGATCTCTCATATGTGTCCCCACTAAGGACCAAAACCACAACCCAGGCTTGTGCCCTGAGTGGGAAATTGAACCTGAGACCTTTGGGTTTACAGACAATGCTCCAAGTGAGCCACACCAGCCAGGGCAAGTCTCAGGATTTGAACTGGACCCATTCACAAGTAGAATATTAAATTTTGCATCAGATTTCTGTATATTGAGTAGTAGATTGTCAGCAAATATGGTCACCAACAATTCTTACCATTCCTGTAAATACATGCCAACTTCTACCATGAAAAGGTGTAGTCTATACTCTTCTTTAACCCAGGCTGACCTTGGACTTATTTTGACCCATAGAATGCTATAAAAGTGATGCCATGTGACTTCTGGGCTTTGCAGCTTTCATGTGGCTGTCTTGGAATCCAGTCACCATGAAACTCAGACTAGTTTACTGAATGAGGAGAAACTACATGAAGAGAGAAAGAGAGACCTTTTTAGGGCCAAACCATCGCAGTCAACCAACAGAGGCGTGAGTGAAATATCATCCTGCATGTTCCAGCACCAGCTGAGCTCCTAGCTAGGTGTGCCACCTGAGCGACTCGTGGCAATAACAAGTGGGGACTGCCCAGTTAAGACCAGCCAGCCCATGGAATCTTGAGAAATAAAGTTGCTAAGTTTTGTGGTATCTTTTTGTTGAGCAACAGATGACTTAAACTTGGAGGAAAAGGTTTGGCGTGGGAGTGGGGCAAGGTGACCAGGTCTGGTAGTAAGGTTAGTTTAAAATATTTAAGCATGTTTATAGTGGGTTATAAAGTCAAACCTATAGAGAGATGGTCAGAAATGTGCCTAGCTTTTAAAGAACAGCAATAGGGAAAAACAGGTAGAATAACTAAAACAAGAGTAAGAGTGTCAAATCTGATACCTATCCTGGATGAAAAATCTTACCCAGGTGTGGTTTTAAAATTATTGATCAGAATGTTCACAAAAATATGCATTCAGACCTCTTAGACTTCATCCAGCTTGTTGGTATAAGCCATGGGACAACAGTTTACTCCTCTCGTCCCATCAATTCCTTTCCTGCCAAGCCAGGCCAGTCATCATATGAGTGAGGCTGAATCCTAGGTGTCTATGTAGACTCCAAAATTCCCAACTTCTTCTTCTTTGCAGCTTGTGTTGGCCTAATGAGCCAGCTGGATGTTTGCCTAAAGGCCTCACCCTAGATTCCGCTCCTTTCATCTCATTTTCCGTTTTTATCAGGGAGAGGCTCCATACGCAGGTCCGTGTCCCAGGCCTTTCCCCGTTCTTATTGTCCTTTATGTTGGAAGTCCTGAACTTTGTCTTATGTTACTCAAGTTGTTGCAGAAAGTCTAATGGATCAGAAAGAAAGACCTAGTGAAGTCTCAGCTGAGCACCTGCAGTCAAACTCAAGTATGCAATAAAGCACCCTTGAGACTACCATACAATATTTTCTGTGCATTAAATAGCAGACTGTGCAGGGATACTGTGTGCATCAGTAGAAGATGAAGCTGATGTTTATCATGAAGGACTAGGCCTTTGGAGGAAAAACACTCCTCATTCCCTTCAGTGCTAGCATTGTTACCAAAGGCAGTCAGGGAGTGCTAGGAGTCTCCCCAATTGGCCAAGATGGTACAGGGGAAGGTTCTTACACTAAATGCACCAAAATCTAGAAAGATGAATGGACAGGACCACAGTGCACCAAACCTAGCAAGGTGAATGGGTAGGACCCAAGCATGTCAAAAGCCAGCAAGATCATTGGATAGGTAAAAAACGCCCTCCCTTCTCCATCCCCTAAGAATCACAGGCTTGAACAGGAATGGAGGGTGGGATGGTCTTTTGGCACGAGGTGTCCACCATTTTCCCAGGTGGGCACCTGAATAAGCCTCTTCTGCACCAGTACCTGCCTCATGAGTTTGACTTTCTTTGCGCCAGGCAGCTGAGACTGCATTTTGGTTACAGCATCCGCAAACCAGCTTTGGAACCAGTTAGGGGGTAGGGGAATTCTCAGTTTCAGGGTCACCATGACCAATCTTAACCTGCTCATTTTGGGCTTGTCTATACACATAAACTTTTTTATTTGTTAATAATTGCATTAGTTTCAGTTTTTAGGAACCTGTAAGGGCAAAATAGCGTAGTTTAAAAAGCTGAAATAACCACAGATTTCATGGCACATTTGTTACATGTAGCATTTTAACATAAATTTTATCATTTTAACCATTTTAAGCATACAGTCCAGTAGTATTAAACGCAGTCACATTTATGTACCTCCAACACTACCATTCATCTCTAGAATTCTTTTCACCTTAATTAGCTGAAATTCTGAGCCCATTAAACAATAAGTCCCAATTGCTCTTTCCCTCCAGCCCATGGAAACTACAATTCTACTTTCTGTTTCTATGAATTTGATTACTTTAGATACACTATATAAACAACATAGTATAATTTTAAAACTGGAATGCACACAGATTTCATAACAATGTATTTATTAATATGTGATACATAAGCAACACAGTCCATACAAAATAAGTGGTTTAATTAACAGTGAAACATATCTAAGATACAGTGAAATCATAACAAATGTATCTTTGCATAAAGAAGCACTCTAGTTTTCCATCTATCACTACTTGTTTAGCAACATACAAAATAATTCTGGATACCACAAAAAAATGAATTTTTTTAATGATACCTTTGATTCTAC